AGCTCACTGCAAGCTCCGCCTCCCAGGTTCACACCATTCTCCTGCCTCAGCCTCCGAGTAGCTGGGACTACAGGCGCCCGCCACCACGCCCGGCTAGTTTTTTGTATTTTTAGTAGAGACGGGGTTTCACCATGTTAGCCAGGATGATCTCGATCTCCTGACCTCATGATCCACCCGCCTCGGCCTCCCAAAGTGCTGGGATTACAGGCTTGAGCCACCGCGCCCGGCCGATATATAATTTTTTAAATGCACACAAACATATTGGGGTAGTGGCCCAGCTTTCTTTTCTTTTCTTTTCTTTTTTTTTAACTAAGGTAAGGGTGTAATCACTGCAACAGAATAAAGACAGGTACCACAATGGCCCTGCCCTCAAAAAGTTACAGTGTACTGGGGACAGAAGGTTAATCTTTTAAAAGTGTGATTAATAGATCACAGTAGGCCGGGCACGGTGGCTCACGCCTGTAATCCCAGCACTTTGGGAGGCCGAGGCGTGCGGCTCACCTGAGGTCAGGAGTTCGACATCAGCCTCGGCAATACGGTGAAACCCTGTCTCTACTAAAAATACAAAATTAGCCGAGCGTGGTGACACTTGCCTGTAATCCCAGCTACTCGGGAGGCTGAGGCAGGAGAATCTCTTGAACCTGAGAGGCGGAGGATGCAGTGAGCCGAGATCGCGCCACTGCACTTCAGCCTTTGCAACAAGAATAAATCTCCGTCTCACCAAAAAAAAAAAAAAAAAAAAAAAAAGATCACAGTAGATGAATACATATCATAGATCATTTCGTGATTATTTGTTCCAAATAAACTGTAGAAATAATAACTGTCATGAAAGGAGAAGCCACGTGCTCTGTCCACAGGCTGAGGACGACCTTGCTGCGGTTGACCGCTGCTGGCCGGGACCTGCGGGTCGCGGAGGCGGCGGCGCCGCTATCGGAGACCACAAGGCGCGGGCAGAACGCAGGGTGGCGGCAGCGCCTCTCCATGCACCAGCGCCCCCAGATGCACCGACTGCAAGGGCAGTTGCACCGCCTCGGCTCTGCCGGCCCCCGCCGCGCCCAGCCTCGCGTCCACGTGGGACACAGACAGCTCCACACAGCCGGTGCACCGGTGTCGGAGAAACCCAAAAGGGGTGAGATTTAAGGCCACATCCCCTACAGGATAAGACACTGGGAAGGACTGATGTGCCAGACAGGTTTTCCTCACTGCCTTCTTCTGCCCACCACCCCATTTTGTTCTTTTGTTCTCACTCCCTCCTTTCTGCCTCCCTAAAATCTTTTTTTCCTGAGTGGGATATCAGATTCAAAATTCTAAATTCACCATGGAGTACCGCTGAGGGCAGAATCAGACAATAGGTCAGGAGATCGAGACCATCCTGGCCAACATGGTGATACCCCATCTCTAATAAAAATGCAAAAATTAGCTGGGCGTGGTGGCAGGCACCTGTAGTCCCCAGTTATTCGAGAGGTTGAGGCAGGAGAATCACTTGAACTCGGGAGGCAGAGGTTGCAGTGAGCTGAGATTGCGCCACTGCACTCCAGCCTGGCAACAGAGCAGGACTCCGTCTCAAAAAAAAAAATACAAAAAATTAGCCAAGCCTGGTGGTGGCACATGCCTGCAGTCCCTCCTACTTGGGAAGCTGATGTGGGAGAATCACTTGAGCCTGGGAGGCGGTCGCTGCAGGGAGCCCAAATGGCACCAGTGCACTCCAGCCTAGGCAACAGAGTGACACTCTGCCTCAAAAAACAAACAAACAAAACAAAATCCCCAAAAAGAAAACTGAACGTTGAATATCTAGAGTAGACACCTCATTCTCATGGCCCTAAATCAGGAATGAGTAACCTAGGTAAAGGAAATCTACACACAGCATTTCATTAAGTACTCTTATTTTATTAAAAAGTACTCACTTATTTTGCTTAGTATGGTCTGATCATTTCAAGTTCCGTACTCCAGACAACCAAATGTTTGCAAAAACAACTGAAAGTAGAAAACTCGCATGAATTTAAATTTCAGTTCCATTTAACAGTTCAGCATAGCTGGCCACTGGTTATGTACCGGGCACTAGAGATAAAGATGGGTAGAGTTAGACACACAGTCTCTGCCCTGGACAAGCTTCCACCTTTCTTTTTTCTTCCTATTTGTACTTACTCACTTGTTTTGCAAGAGTAAAAAAAAAAACTGTTCCTCGGGGACCAGTTGTCATATAAGGGTTTCACCCAGGTCTCAAGACTCTCTATGTCCAGCCCTTCACGTTTCAGTTTCAGCACTTGGTGTTTCGGAGGGTACTGTTGCCAGAGTCTGCATCTTCTGTCTAAACTTTTAGGGCCAAGGGACAGGCTGAGCTACACAGCCCCTCCATCGTTTAAGGAGCATGCGACAAATGAAAACGGAGGTGAAATAGCCAGTGAACGCAGCGAACTGTGAGTTCTTCTTATTTATCCCATGTTTTTATTCCTGCCACTTTAATTACAAAGATATCATTAGGGAACAAGTGAATGTTGGTGATTTGAGTCTTTTCAGCATGATCAGGGGAGATGAAAGTCAACCCTAGGTCAAATTCCAACTTCATTGCTTAAAAATGGAAAACAAGCTTCTCTCTGTTCTCTGAGGAAATGAAAATAAAAGTCCTTTTCTCAATTGAAAGTATTCCCTCTATTTCCATTTATATTTTTTCCCTTAGGTCATAATTAATTCCTTTTTTTTTTTTTTTTGACAGAGTCTTGCTCTGTTGCCCAGGCTGGAGTGCAGTTGCCCTGATCTTGGTTCAGGGCAACCCCTGCCTCCCGGGTTCAAGCGATTCTCCTGCCTCAGCCTCCCGAGTAGCTGGGACTACTATAAAAAATTTTTGTATTTTTAGTAGAGACAGGGTTTCACTATGTTGGCCAGGCTGGTCTCCAACTCCTGACCTTGTGATCCGCTCACCTTGGCCTCCCAAAGTGCTGGGATTACAGGTGTGAGCCACCACGCCTGGCCCATAATTCCTTTGTGTCTTTGTTTGACATTTGAAAGCTGTATTCTATAAGATTTTCCTTGACATGTACCAAGATTACTGACTCATTTAACTTCTTTTTGTATGTGTGAGAACCCAGTTCTAAACTCCTGTAACAACAGTTTCGAAGTATCCTTTTTGTATTTAGTATTTCTGGTTCTAACAGTATAATTTCTTTCAGCAATGTCGTAAGTATGGCTAAACCCATTGGTTTATGCATGCCTAACAGTGCCCACACCATGGCCAGCAATACCATGCAAGTGGAAGAGCCACCCAAGTCTCCTGAGAAAATGTGGCCTAAAGATGAAAATTTTGAACAGAGAAGCTCATTGGAGTGTGCTCAGAAGGCTGCAGAGCTTCGGTAAGAGTGTGGCACTCCATGCCTCAAACCAGAATGAACTGAAAAAGCTTATTTACACCTTTCCTCCATCTCAGAGGAAAACAGAGTGTTTGGGATTAAATTCAATCTGAGTAGTAGACATGGAGTCCCTCGTAGGTTAAGAAATGGATTAACCTGCGGGCACAGTGGATCACGCCTGTAATCCCAGCACTTTGGGAGGCCGAGGCAGGCAGATCACTTGAGGTCAGGTGTTCGAAACCAGCTTTGCCAACATGGGGAAACCCTGTCTCTACTAAAAATACAAAAATTAGCCAGGCATGGTGGCAGGCACCTATAAATCCCAGCTACTAGGGAGGCTGAGTCAGGAGAATCACTTGAACCCGGGAGGCGGAGGTTGCAGTGAGCCGAGATCATGCCATTGCACGCCTAGGCGACAAGAACAAAACTTGGTCTCAAAAAAAAAAAAAAAAAAAA